TGGGTAACACAAATTTGTTTTGTCAAATAAAACTATCAATCAAGGAAAAAAAAAACTCCACCTGTCTTCTCTCTCCTGCAGTCTTCTCATTTTATCTAAATTACTTATACAGAATTTTTAAATGTTGAGGTTCACCTAATGGATGTGGAAGACACTAGAGGAAGAAAATCATGTGTGTTTAACAAATTAAAATAACTAGGACTTTCAAAGACCCTCTACTCATTTGGTTGCATACAGAACATGACCACATCACTCATCCAGCCCAATCTATGATTGTTCCACATGATAGGACATGATCGGCTTACTTTTTACAGTACACTGGTGCTCAGGTCAGATTTTCAATATATGGATATCCAATAATAGTGATCATTACAATATTTGCACCATGAACATGCAAAACTTTGAGATCAGGAGATATACCTCCTCTTTATCCTTCACCTTTTGTTAACTGAAGCACAATAACTGTGAACTAAAAACATGTTTTATAACATTTTTTCTTGAGACTGCATATTACTATAGATAACGATCAAGCTCTTAATGTGTCAAATGCCATCTCAAAAATCACCTCTTTTCTGAAGCCTTTCTCATACTCCTCATTGCTCCCCACATCTGGCAGAAGTTAGACACCCCTCTTCTGTATTCTTATATTCGGATGCTAACATCAGAGCTGACATTTGAAGATAAGTCTGCACCTAGCTATCCTGAGTATTTTCAGCTTGTACCATGGTATCTAGCTCGCAGTAATACGAAATGAATGAATATGTTATTCTTTGCCTAATATATATTGACTAATTAAATAACTGAATCAAAGATTTGATTCTGCTTGATTTTTTTCTTTTTATTTTTTAAGGGGGGGAGAAAGGGTGAGTTTATAGACATAAGAAATTTTGAATTCTGGAATAAACTTTTCTTCAAAATACACTTTCGAATCCATTCCTAACCCAGGATCTTAGGGGACAGGTTAAAACTGTGTCACGAGAATGATAATACCCACAGAGTAGGTTAAAAATTTAAATTTTTTTGAAAACCTAAGAAACACACTGAATCAAATTCAAGAGCACAATGTTGAACAAAAGACGTCAGACACAAAATAGCACATATTGTCTGATTCGATTTATATACAGTACAAAGATGGTAAAGTCTACCTAAGGAATGAAAAATCAAGTAAGAGTTGCCCTTGGTGAGGAAAGTGAGTAACTGGAAGGTTTCTTAATCTGGATGCTCATTACACAGATGTGTTCTGTATATGAAAAATTCATTAGCTATATAATATTTGTGCTTATGTATATAAATATAATATGTAATTAAATGTATAAATATACTTAAGCACAATTAAATAGATGCATCATAAGATATAATTGAATATATAAGTATATATCTATTATAAAATATAATTTATAGCTAAAAAAAACTTAGGCTAAGCAGAAAGCTTAAAAACCATTCTTAAACACATTCCAGGAATTTTCAGCTAAAATGAGAAACCAATTTGGTGTCAATAAAGCCATTAATACTATAAGATCACATGGGCGATCTTGAAGACATTGTATGTTCTAATTACAGAAGAGCAGTATCCAGAAAGCAAACTGGTAGACACTTTGTGAACAAGAGAAGAGCATCTTTGCCTCAGTGGTGCTGAGCAATTAGGGAACCAGAACCAGAGAGCAGTTCATCCCAATCCCATAGTTGATACACAAGCAAGTTAGGAAATCCATTTTCAAGTTTTTAATTATTTTTATTATAAAATCCCATGTTTCCTAACAATTGTTCAAAGGTCCTTTTGAAATTAAATTTAAAAAATTTTCAAATCATAACAATGACTGACTATGGCAACATTCAAACAAAAAACCAAGGATTCCACTTGTAAATTGCATAGCCTTTAAATCAATATTCATTGCAAGCTTTATAAATTTGACAGCAAGTAAGTCACTAAATCCTGATTCATGCAGTGTGAAATTATACAGTGGAGGGCATGAAATTCCATCTGTACCCATTTTATAGATGAGAAAACTATCATTTTTAGTCATCAGGCAAGAGGATAGCTTCTAGAATAGTATAGGAAAAACCTTGGCTGAATAAGGAAGGCTCCAGAGATAAGGGCAACACAATCCAAAGGGAACTAATCAAATACCCCAGGACTAGGGGCAACAGGACATTCTAAAACAAGAACCAAATAAAAAGGACTCTAAAATAAGGGCTGGCACACAGAGTCATGAGGACAGAGTGCGTGAGAACAAACCAATCACAAAGAGATTGATGGGGCTTTAGAATAATTAGGGAAAGAAGGTGTATATCCCCTGAGACACAACTCCACTTCAGGTTCGTTGCCCCTCCCTGGCTGGGCTCCACTGGCCTGGGAGTCCCACTTATTTCTGTTCCTTTTCTCCTTAAAAAACTTCTTTCTTTCTTTCTTTTTTTTTTTTTATATAGTTTGTTTGTTTGTTTTTTGTTTATACAAGCACTGGGTACAGTCAGAAGCGCGGGAGGGTGAGAGAATTCACCAGAGCCAGAGCAGGGAGCAGAGCAGGCAGAAGGACTGAAGTACACTGCTTAGGGGAGCAGCGGGCAGCAGGAGAGGTCTGCGGCCATGTAGGACCCTCCGGTGGCCGGGGAGCAGCCGGGGATCGAACTGGCACCGCAAAGGCCGCGGGCAGCTTCGCAACCCAGCGCTCAACCGCTGCGCCACCGGGGAGGCCCCAAAACTTCTTTCTTTTTTGATTGCTGAGTAATATTCCATTGTGTATATGCACCACACCTTCTTGATCCACTCATCTATTTTTGGGCATTTGGGTTGTTTCCATAGCTTATCTATTGTAAATAGTGCTGCTATAAAATAGGGGTGCAGGTGCCCTTTTGAATAAATGATTCTGTGTCCTCTGGGTAAATACCTAGGAGTGGAATTGCTGGATCACATGAAAGCATGGAGCTGGAAGGGATCATGCTCAGCGAATTAAGCCAGAAAGAAAAAGAAAAACACCAGATGGTCTCACTCATAGCAAGAATTTAGAAAAGCTAAATAAGGGACCAGGAAAAAAAATGACTAATTATAATAAAGTAAAAAATCAAAATCAACAAGCATCTATAAACAAGAGACACATTAAGTGGGGGAGGGAGGAAGAGGAGGAATTAGGGTCAAAATAAGGGGGGTGGGAATTGTATGGGGAATATAACCAAGATGAAAATGCATACATTGTGCAAAAATAAAAAATGATGTAAAAAATATATAAAAGAAAAGAAAGAAAAACAAAACAAAACAAATCTTCTTTCTATAAACAAATTTGCCTCTTTATCCTTGCTTGCCTGAGCATCAGTAACATTCCTGCTGCCGCTTCATGAGACATTGACATGCGGTGGTCTAGAGACTGGGATTCAGCCCGCCCCGGGAAGCCTGGGATCCATTCCTGGCTGGAGACTAGATCCGAAAACCTGAAATTAGCGCATCAATTTCCACACCTGTTTTACTAAACACTGCATTGTCAGACCTGACAGTAAAAATTCAAACGATGTGAGCTTCAGGAGGTTGTGTAAAATTGCTCCACCTTTTCCCAAGTAGCCCAGCTTGCTTTGAAAGTAAATCCGACAGGAAATAAATCCGACAGGAAGGTGACAGGCAGGCTGGTTGATAAATGTGAGGTGAGCCACCCCAGACTCCTGCATACGTGGCCTTGGGTCTCCCCCACCCCCAACTTCCTTTGTGTATCTTTTGGGCCTCTTCCTTCTTCCTTACATCATCGTCTTACTCACAATGAGCCACTTTTGTTTCTTCCGTTGGTGATTACAGGTGCTTCAGGCTCTTTAAAGGAAAGCCAGTGGTTCTAGCCTGGAGCCGTGAGTGCTGTGTATACCTGGAGGGCAGGGGAAATAGTAACACTTTAATCACCTAGGCGAGACCCTTGGGTACCTCCTAGAACTTGGAAAAATAGAGGCGTCCCTCCAGGGGCGCAGGGCTGCAAAGAGAGTATTCTCTCCGCCCTCCGCAGCCACGCGCTCTATCGCCCCTCCAGCCCTTCAGCCACAGCGAGCGAGCGGGGTGCGCCTGCTCCCCGCCAGCTAGACCTAGCAGGCCCGGGGTTGGGCATGCTGTCGCCTGCCCAGCCGCGCTCCGGCCTCAGCCTCGCCTGCGGCTGCAGCACAGGCGGAGACAGCGCGCCTGGCTCGCGTCGGACCGGGGGTGGGCGCCCAGCCTCTGCTGGAGGTCCCGGGCAGCTTGGCCCTTGCGGGTGCAGCCCTCGCTCGCCGCCGCCGTAACCGAGCCGCCGCCGCGACGGTGCGTCCCGGCGCCCCACTTCGCCAGCGCCCACCCCTGGCTCTTCCTGGGTGGCTCTGCCGGGGTCCCTAGGGGCGCATCCCTCCACGTGAGCGTCTGAGAGGCTGTACGCAACAGGCTCAGGGAAAGGAGGTGGGTGCTGAGGCGCTGGGGGGCTGCAGACTGGCAGGGAGGGGAGGCTGTGACGGGAACCGCTGATTTCGGAAACCCCTGGCCCTTCTGGCACTCCCGCGGCTGTTGAATTAAAAGTGATGTCCTCCGCGTGCACCGTGCACATCAGACCGCAAAAAATTCAACTCTCGGTCCTGCTTGGGGTGCTGTTTTGGGGTAAAGGCAGCTTTCTATTTCGCGCACCATACTTGCTACCGTGCTGGCAAAATACTGCATGACCTTCGGACCTGCTCATTCGGATCTTGCAGAGGGAGCCAGGGGCTCTTTGTTTCTCTTTCTGCCCGTGCATCTTTGTTACCTGTCCCTCTCTTTCTGTCTGTCTTGCATTTTCTTTAAAGGATAGGAGGTGGGCAACTGAGCTTCACCTGGGGAGAGCAGATCCGCTGGGCTTAGCTTTCCTGGTTGAAGTTTACTGCTCCTCAACAAGTAACAGCATGCTGAGGATGAGAAGGGCTCTCAAAAATGAAGGCGCACGCAGGATAGGAGAGGAATGTAGGGAAACCAGCTGGTCTATAACTTCGTTGTAAGGGACTCACCGTCCACTGCCTAAATGTGTTGATTGCTCGGTTTAGGAAAAGACTTGATGTGCTTCTGAAACAAACTGCAAGGAGTCATCTTAAAAGTAAGCTTATTTTCTTTCTGTACAAAACATGTTATATAACTAATGCTCAAATCATGGAGATTTTAGAGAATAAAGTCAAACAGCTGGATACCATGTTACGAATTTGACTAAGAAGGAGGTATCTGCATGGTCTCCTCACTAGGAAAAATTGATGTTAATAGAATTGCTTAATGAAGACTACCAAGAGTTTAGCGTGTGAGTTTTTAAGCGTTTTAGTTCAAAAATATTGGCATTGCAACCCTATCAGGGAGAGGTTCCAGTGTGGTGGTTAAGAGTTTGGCATGAGAAAGATTTGGATCACTGTCTGGGTGCTGCAACCTAAGTTTCCGTGGGACTGCCAGCAAGTTGCCTAACCTCTTTAAGCTTGAGTTTCCTACTTTCTAAAGGAATTGTTGAGAAAATGAAGGAGCTAGCTCAAGGATGGTGTTTAACACAGTCTATCATCAGTAAATACATATTAAGTGAGCCTGGGACTGATGGTAACAAGATGAGGAGTGCTTAGACCACCCCACCCCCCCATCACTGCACTGCACCACCCTGGCAAGAGGTCTCCAAGGCCCTCCATGCAGTACTCCCTTCTGTTCATAAAAATTTAAGATGCTCCTTCAGAACTCTTGAATTTGACTCAAACAAATAAAATCTGGCCTAATCCTGTGGCAATAATTATCTGTATTTGGGTACCTGTACCTATAATCTAATGACCTCTATTTTATATGCATTTAAAATAAAACTATATATTATATAATTAAAATAGAATTATTTTGTTATATTTTCATTTTCTGCATTTCTTATCAGAAGATGTTATGATATAGGAAAAATGTTAATAGTACATATATATCTATATTACAGCTAGAGTTTAATGACATCCTTTTTGAAACATAATTTGCATAACACAAAATGCATTGAAATTTACATATAAAACCTGTGTTTTATTGGATGCAGATTCTACTTCAAAAATTGATTTTTAAAAAGGTGTCAAAGATTGTCTACTTTGTTGTGTTGTCTATTGCTAGAATAGTTTAGAGAAATTCAGAGAAAGTCAATAGGGAGGAAAATTAAGATTGATGCATTAGCAGGCACAGAAAATAAATAGCCAAGTGATGCAGGGAAGTAAAAAGGATAAATTATATAAATTCAGAATGTTTGAGATCATTTTTATATGAATTTTTGTCTAATTTAAGATACCAAATATAATACGAGATGCTGGGAGAATCTGAAGAGAATGAGAAAAAGAACAAAAATGTGCTCTTGCAAGGTGTACTGGCAAGCTCAGTTTCCTTCTCACGTTCTAATTTATATCTGCCTTTTCATGCAGCACACTCCTGCATTTGCCACAATGCAATCATCTGGTGAATTTGCATCTGCTTCTTGGGAGCTCGTCATCCAAGTGGACATTCCAAATGAAGAGAGGCAGGAAAAAGTGAAGCTGACAGTGTCCGGAGACCTCCATATTGGGGGAGTGATGCTCAAGTTAGTAGAACAGATCAGTAAGTTACTGGATTTTTTTTTATGGTTTTTCTGGATTTGAAACCCTCTCCACTACATCACCATGAAATGACTCACCTAGGTTGTCTGATTTTCTATCTTGTAATCATCCAGTAATACCCCAGAGAGCATGCCCCCAGGAAAGAGCCAGCCAGTATACACTTATTTGGCAAACTTAAGTTCCCCAGTAAGTGTAATGCCATATTTCCATAAGGATGGGGCCCATTCCAATGGTGACATTTAGGGTGACTTTAAGTGACTTGGCATTCGACTACTGTTTTGATTCTCTTAGCGCTTGTTTGTTCAGTGATATCAGTAGTCACCTTTTCCTACTTTCCCTGGTTAAACAAAGAAAGAATTCTTCACATCAGGAGTCAATATGATCAACCTAGAATTTAATAATGGTCTATTTTCTTTGTATTTAATTTTGTCTTCAATTTAAGGCCATGGAGGTCAGCTTTTTATTTATACTAGGAGATAAAGATTTCTGTAAAGCAAATCTGAAATGCAGTGTACACACAAAAAAGTGCACTTAAGTGGACAGGCCAATTAATTCAGTCACGAAACCCCCCTTCAGATGGAGAAGTAGAACATTACCTGTTTCCCAGTCATGTCCCATACCTGAATCCCTGATCCTGTCCCTGCCCCACCAAGGCTGACCCCTACCCTGAGTTCTAGTACCATAAGAATAATTTTACCAGTTTGTGAACTGCACATAAATGGAATTATATGGGATATACTCATGCATCCATTTTTTTCTTTCTGTCTGTGAGATTTATGCACATTGTTGCATAGTGTTTTTCTCATTGCTGTATAATATTCCATTATGTGATTGTGCCAACATTCACCCACTTACCTATTGATGGGCATTTGGATTGGTTTCTCCTTCAGGCTTTTACAGAGAGGGCTGTGATAGTAGTGTCTTTTGGTGAGTCCATATAGGCATTCCTGTTGGGTATAAGTGCAGAGAGAAATTGATGAATAATAGGACTTCTCAAAATAGACCAACTTATACTTTAATAACAGCATTGAAAGAAAGACCTTCTAAATTAAAAAGAGACCATTTTTTAAGAAGTAAGAAGTACTCTTCATTAGCAAAACAAAAGACTGACTACTGACTCCAACACTGATGAAAAGATTCAATTTTCATGCCAACCCTGTTGATGCCAACATTGGAAGAGAAAATGTTGGGCTCTGGTTTCAGTATATGTGCCTTGAAATTAGGATTCCAGTTGTGCTTGTAAGAGGTGGACTTGGCTGAGAAGAGTGAAACGTCAGCTTTACCAGCTTATGTGGACTTTGGGAGCTGTTCTATTTCCTTATGATCCGAGGGTGGAAGGATATTGTGGCATAAGTTCCATTTCTATTAGAGAAATGATTTTGATTAAACAAAAGCAAGTGTCCCTGACCTTTCCAGAAAGACCCACAGCCCTGTGGACTTTAGGGAAGAGAATTACAGTGTTTCATGGTGAACAAAATGTGTATATTTCTGTTCCTGCCATACTATTTCAGTAGAACAAAGATAAGGTTCGGTCTCTGCTTTCTACCTGCCCCCACCTAGTCTTTGAAGAGAAGCCAAGGATTGTTGAGACTTGAGTTGTAAAAGGAGAGGGGGAATTACAGGTCAGTTGTTTGATTCCCTTTGGCACACAATGAAATTGACTCAGGGTGCACACTCTCAGAGTTACCTTCATTGCCTTCCTTTATTCTTCCCTCCTAGGAGCAATTTTTTATCACTTATTTTTTAAGAGAATATTTGCCTTAAGCAACAATGGTGGGGTTTAACTTTTTCTTTTATCACCTTTTCCATTTTTTCAGATATAGCCCAAGACTGGTCAGATTTTGCTCTCTGGTGGGAACAGAAGCACTGTTGGCTTCTAAAAACTCACTGGACTCTGGACAAATGTGGCGTCCAGGCAGATGCAAAACTTCTCTTCACCCCTCAGCATAAACTGCTTCGCCTCCGCCTGCCAAATGTGAAGACAGTGAGATTGCGAGTCAGCTTCTCAGCTGTGGTTTTTAAAGCTGTCAGCGATATCTGCAGAACCCTCAGTGAGTACCTGGTGGTGCCTTGTGTGCTTTGGACTCTTAGCAAAGGAGGGCGGGAAAGCTTTGTATGCTTTCTCCTACCTCAAGCAATTGGTTTTACAGAGTACTGCCCTAATGAGGAAGTGCATGTTGTAAGCCCAGTTCAGGGAACTTTGTTTAGCCATTAACGTGGAATTAAACCACATGGAACATTATTGAAATGAGTCAGTCGTTTCCACAAAGCTTAAAAGATTTGTAAATCCATTAAGATTTTCTTCCCCAAATTTCATTTTCCACACCTCGCTAAAATCATTATCCTATTTATGACAACAAGAGTTCGTGAAACCATTCTCATCACAGAGCTGACGTGTCTTACTGTTTTTGAGATGACGGTGTTGCAAAGTCACCAGTCTTCCCTGACACTAGGCTTTAGAGACCAGGCCTATCCACAAAAACCATTTGTGGAGATTAAGCACAAAAGTCCACTGAATTATGTCCTGAAAATGCATTCTGCGGGGTGGGCACCCCATAAATTTGAAGCCAGTAGGGCAAAGCAGCCCAAACCATTTCTCCTTTCTGGGACTGCCATAATGGAAGTGAACCCTGTGCCATGAAGATGTTCTTCTTTTGTATTTTTTGGAAGTGGGTGTTCTGCGGCTAAGATTCAGCATTTGCACATGGTATATATCATCTGTGAGTGAGTGGTGTGTCTCCCCATTAAACCATTAGCGGCTCATTCATTCCTTCAACAAATGTAATGATGAGGCCAGCATTGTGGCAAGTGTAGCTAGCCAGAAAGCCCTTTCCTTCTTGAACTTACCTCCTCGCATCAGAGAGAGAAAATAAATAATAAATATGAAAAATAGGATGTTAAAAGGAGATAGTAGAGGGAAAAAAAGCAAAACCAAATCCTTGGAAACCGACCATAGATCTTGGGCTTTCATAGAGAGAGGATGTTGGGGGTCAGAACAGAACAGACTATGGTGGAGGACTGTGGGTGCTTCCACTGTGGGACAGCGATGGTGACTGTACTGAAAAGGGAAACCATATACTGTCAAAACACCAGCGAGGATGTAAAATAATGGTACTTCAATAACAATTTAAAAATTAAAAAAACTAAATATACACAGGAAAACAAACAATTGTAGGCAAAAAGAACAGACAAAAGCCTTTGCTTGAGTATGCCTGTGTTCCTAACGCCTAACGAGATGCCTGCACACATGAGTTGCTCAAATGATTGGAATCTTCCATTACATTCTGTAAGTTCTGTAGTGTCCTCTGATACACGGTGAGTAAGTCGCAAGTGCCAGGGTGTATTGTTTTCAGCGCTATTCTCGTGAAGACTGGAAGGCAATAAATGATTGCATCACATCATATACTACACACACCACTGTGGGCTGGAGGCACATTTGGTAGCTAGGACTGAACATCTGAGGTTTTGAAATAAACAGAAATAGTTGGATGGTCTTCTCTTTTCCAGATTATATCTTCACGGTGGTTATAATGGGTCATCTTGGCATTTTTTATCACCACTTTGTACATCTGATCAATCGAAGCAAATTCAAATTTAGCAATACAATGGCTTTTCTGTCCAAGAAGAGATGCAAATCTTAGAGTTGGAGATCTATAGGTCTAGTCTTGTTGGTTTCTAATGCAACTTGCAATTATGATTCATGACCAGGCTTTGTACCTAAATGATGCATTTGGAATGGCAATGGCACAGGCGCCTGTTGCAACCCGACAATCAGGCATCCCTGGTTACTGGAGAGTGAATTGAGCTGAAGTGCTTGTCTGAATCTCGGCACCAAACAAGCTTTGAACTGAGAAGCGGGAGTATGCACGGGAGTCAGTGCATTTACCTCTAGGAACTTCAGCCCAGAGACTGAAACGTCCAGTTTCCTTGGCTTTTACCTAGGATCAGTGCAACTCAGTGTGGTTAATGGCTATCAGGACTTGTGCCATTGTTAATGGCAATTGTGAATCTATTTGATTAATAAAGGAAAAATGGGAATTAGCTTCTTAGTTTTAGTTTTCCAGAAGCAGACCCAGAGATAAGGATTCAAGTACAAATATTTAATTTGGAAGGCAATACCAGGTAATTGGTTGCAGGTGGGGAAGTGAGACTTGCTAGAAAAGACAACCATTAAGCCAGTATCACCTATCAGATCACATTTTGAGCAACTGGGAGACATGCCTCAGAGCTATCCACCCAGGAGTAAGGGAGTAGGGTGTTAATTCACCCCTTTCTTCAGTCATTGAGGGCTACTCCTGGGAATCATTAATTCTCTGAACCCGTGTACCCTGTTGCACTCATTTCTGGGTAGTGCAGGCTCTGGGATCCAGAGTGAGCCCTCAGGCAGAGAGGGCAGTGGCCACTGAAAACTGGGTCAGAAACAGTGAGGACCTATCAACAGAAGAGATGGGCAGGGCACACTCATGCCACAAGGATGAAATTAGCTACCAGGCATTGTATGAGAGAAATGCTTTTAGCATCTGGGGTCCATAAACAAAAAGATGAGTTCCTTGGTTGTTCAAAAAATTTCAAATAAAGACATTGGTGATGGCTCACAGGTGCTACATAGGAGAACATAGTAGAAGAACAATGGGGTCTACACCTAAGGGGAGAAATAAAACACTGTACAAAAATGAACAACAATGTAAGAAAATAAGTAAATAAGTTTAATAAAATTTTAAGAATAAGAAAGCTTAATAAAAAGACAAGAGGGAGGGAAGGAAGGCAGGAAAAAATGATAGTAAGTAAATGACAGAAGAGCAGCAAAATGCTGGTATTAATTGATGCTAGCTGATTGAGCACAAGCAGCAGGTGGTTCATTCTGCTATTCCCTTGGCTTTGGATATGTTTAAAATGGTTTCATAATACAAAAAAAAAAACTACAAATTTTACTGAGGCTAATCATCCTCCACTCTTTGACCCCCCTAACACATACCCACTTAGGGATTCTCTTTACTCTTCTGTTTCTCCCAAAAGCATACAATTTAGTTCCATTTACTTCCCTGGAACTTCCTGAGAAATGGTCTCAAATGCCCGACACAACTCTGAATCTTAGAAGAAACTTACTTTTTACTTTTTTTCTTTCTTTTTTTCAATTTATTCATTAGATATCAGACGATCAGAAGAACTTTCTTTGCTAAAGCCTTCTGGTGACTATTTTAAAAAGAAGAAAAAAAAAGAGAAAAATAATAAAGAGCCCATAATGGAAGATGTTTTGAACCTGGAGACTTCTTCAACAATTTCAGGTTCACCAGGTAAGTGTCGTGACAGGTACTTTGTTGTTTTCATTCATGAATGTCAAATTTCTTAAATTCTTTTTTTTTAAGATTTATTTATTTATTTATTTATTTATTTATTTATACAAGCACTGGGTATAGTCAGAAGCGTAGGAGGGTGAGAGAATTCACCACAGACAGAGCGGAGAGTAGAACAGGCAGAGTGACGAAATACACTGCTGAGGGGAGCAGCGGGCAGCAGGAGAGGTCTGTGCGCCATGTGGGACCCTCACCCCGCCCGGGATCGAACCGGCACTGCAGAGGCTTCGGGCAGCTTCACAGCCCAGCGCTCAACCACTGCGCCACCAGAAGAGGCCCCAAATTTCTTAAATTCTTAAATTCCAAGAATTCTTCTCTCCCCTGCTCCTCCTTTTCTCTTCTCCCCCCAAACAAAGAAGGACTAAAATAGCAGCGTTCATATGATGAAGAAAGGTTATCAATTAATTTTAATACTACTTTAAATTAGTAAGATATGTTTTATAACTCATTATTTCAATTGTATATGTTATGTTGCTGATGAATGCAAAACTTGAGTAGATTCACAATGATTTGGTGGAGAAAATCATTAGTTGGTTCACTATATTTTTCTTTTCCTGATACTATCTTCATTTGACTCTTTCTTAAATTCAGCTTAAAGTTTGCATTGGGCATGGGGCCTCCCTGATGGTGCAGGGGTTAAAGATAGCGCTATCAAGCTATCACCAACCACAGCAGCATGAGTTCAGTTTGATCCTGGCTGGCCAGGGAGCAACCCACATGGTGCAGCAGACCTCTCCTGCCTCACCTGCTGCTCCCCTCAGCAGTGTATTTCAGTAGTTCTGCCTGTTCTGCTCCACACTCTCCCTGGTGAATCCTCTCACCCCCCACATCTCCGGCTTACACTCCAGTTCTTATAATCATAGATAAATAAATCTTAAAGAAAAAGTTTGCAGTGGGCAAATCATCCATTCCTTCCATATAAAAATAAATAAATCTCTAGCTTGCTTGCAACCCTGAGGGTTTATTGCATTGCACATTCCAATGCACATTCCAATGCAAAGAATGAAGTATTTTTATCATCATTTTCTTTATGCAAATTAGATGATTTATAGTAAATCACAAACTAGCTGAGTTCTTGCTATTTGTTTAAAGGATATGTACAAAAGTATAGTATGTACATGTAATCTGTGAGTTCTCCGGTTCTCTAAAAATGTCAAAACTTACAGCTAAAATAGAAAAATTTTGAATTATTGAGAAGACTCCCTATTATTTGTCTGGGTTGATTTTGGAAACTTTTACAGATCTTGAGTTCCCAAGCATTTAGGAACTAAATATTTAGGTAAGAGATGTGCCTTCTCTCCCTATCAGTCATGACTCACAATGATTTTTAATGGTTCAAAATCAAACCACAGATTTTGGTTCACAAAATTCAAAATCTGTTTTAGTTTACACAATGTTAGTACTTCTTTTTTTTTTTTTAAGATTTATTTATACAAGAGCTATAGTACAGGCCAGAGGCACGGGAGGGTGAGAGGATTCACCAGAGACAGAGCGGGGAGCAGAACAGGCAGATAGACTGAAAGCACTGCTCAGGGGAGCAGTGGGTGAAACAGGAGAGGTCTGCCATGCCATGTGGGTATCTCCCTGGCTGGCCGGGAATTGAACCCATATTGCAGAGGCTGCAGACAGCTTCACAGTGCTGCGCTCAACCTGCTGCACCACCGGGGAGCCCCTAGTACTTATTTTTCAAAAGGTTCCTTCCCCCTGATTGTCATAGTGCCTTCTCATGTCATAGTGCCTGTTCCCCTTTGCCTTGCAGTAAGTCCTGGCTTGTACAGTAAAACCATGATTCCCACATATGACCCCATCAATGGAACACTAGCATCATCCACCATGACTTGGTTCAATGACAGCCCTCTGACAGAACAAAACTGCAACATCCTTGCATTCAGCCAACCCCCCCAGTCTGCAGAAGCACTTGCTGAAATGTACCAGCCTCGGTCTCTGGTTGACAAAGCCAAGTTCAACGCAGGGTAAGGACATAACTCCATTTTGCTTCTCTGTGAATTGATAATGATCTAGCAAGACAGATACCAAAGAGATCGGATAAGGTGTTGTTTACTTTTTAAGTAGACCAGTCTGGGGATTGTACACTATTAGCAAAAGTCAGTACTGATTTGTAGCAGCAAAATGGGAAATGCAGACTTTGGGCATTTCAATACAATTAAAGTATGTCATTTATGTGTTTGGTAACTCAATGGGCTACCCCATGTGAGTGTACTCCTTGCTGTGTGCAAAGCATATGCTACAGAATGTCAAGTGTGTGAGTGGGCTGGTACCCATGAGTCAAGGGGAGATCCAAGGAGGCCCGCCTGGCCCACATTGCCTTTTGTGAACCCCAGTCTGTCTATAGACTGCCTAAGCAGCAAGTCCATCAGCTTTGTTTGATGTAGCCTCCTAAGCAGCAAGTCCTTCAGTTTTGTTTGATATAGCCTTTGTTTAATGTACACTCCATTATTCAAACTACTGTTTCTTTCACTCCCCATTGTTCACCAAATGAGTGATACTTGTGAACACACTTGAACCCCTGTAGAGCTTGAACCAGCAGCTGCCTCACCTGTTGTGCTCTCCCGCCCCATCCCCCATGGCACATGCTCCGTCACTTCCAGGATTTGCTCTCCTCCAGGTTTTGCTCACCTCACCTTATTTCTCATCACCTTCCTTCTTGTTGTACTGGACATTCCCTGCTTCTCCTTTCAGGCCCAACCATATACTGTCTCCTCAGACCTCACCTTTCAAGATCAGTCACTTCTTAGTCATTAGTATTTAACACTTTGCCTCTCTAGTGTCACCATGTTCCTTTATTCTGAGACTTTCCCATTGAATTGTTAATTCCTTTGGGATGGAGATTGCTTCTTGGCTATTCTTGAGCTCTCACAGGGCCTAATATGGTAGAAGTTCAAGCTATTTACATTGAGCAGAAGGGGACCAAATTCAGCCCCACCTCATTTTATTGCTACCTTTTCATCTCTACCCCTTGACCATTGCCAAGTTTTTATTTTTCAAGTCTAGTACTATATTATCCAGTGTAGTATAAGAGTTGCATGGGAATATTTAAATTTGAATTAAAATTAAAATGTGACACTAGCCTTATTTAAATCTCCAGTAGCTACATGTAGCTAGTGGCTATGCTCCTAGTAGGGCAATATAAAATATTCCCATATTCCAGAATGTTCTAGGCAATAAGAACCAGCTTTGGGTTGGGCCACCTGGTGTAGAGGAGGGGTGTGCAGACTTCCAAAAATACAGATTCTTTTCCTGGATCCACCATGAAGTGTGTGACCCTGAACATATCACTTACTGCCACTGAGATTCAGTTTCCCCATCTATAAAGTTGAGAAAATACAAACTGCCCTGTGCTACTGTTGTTAAAGGGCAACCCCAGTATAAAATGGGTTGCCTGGCTGTGGGTCCTCACCCACGCGCTTAAAAGGGACTTATTAATACTCCACTACAGGCACACACAAAAGGTTAATAAAAGGCTTATTTACAAGGGAAAGGGAATTAAGGATATGTACAACTCAGGGAGAAACTAGGGAAATAAAGTCTTTAATGCGTCCTACCTGATCCACCCACCTGGAAACCCAAAGGCACTCGCAGAGCTGGCCGGACGAGCTGGCAGGGAGCCAAAATGGGGGATCCCCTCCAAAGCCCATGTGTCTGGCTTTATACCAACCTGGCTGCTTAACCCCACCCTCAGGTTCCAGCCACCTTCCCTTTGGTGGTGATGGGATTTGGAGTTCCCAGTGTCTTTGGCTTTGGCCTGGTATGGGGGTGGAGTCCACAAAGCCTATATGGAATTAGCTTTAGGACATCCTTTTCCCCCTAACACTGTGACTTGCTAATTTCAAGTGCCGGAGAGAAAAATATATATATGCAATAATGTCATCCACAGGTTCTTGGAAACTGATATTTTGCTCTGCAGTGTAAAGCAAAAGCAGATCCTTGAATAATGTCAATTGTTCAATCTCAGCATAGATTTTTTTACTCATCCACAATACAACAAAACATTGAACAAAATGATATTATTCAAGGAAACTGCAGTATACAAAAAGCACTTGGAAATTATAGACCTATAAGATAAAATGTAGATATAAGCTTTTATCAAGTCCTCTCCCTTACTGGTTTTTGATTACATTATTTATTCGGACTTTGTTCAAGAAGATTGTATGTTTGTGTACGCCCATGTGTGTGTGAATCCATATGTACATATGCAATGTGTATGTGTATATATAAACATAATATGTAATATTATATATGTGTAAAATTGATTGACCTCATCCTATTGCTTTCTAGTTGGCTGGACTCCTCTCGTTCCCTTATGGAACAAGGCATCAAGGAAGATGAGCAGCTGCTGTTACGATTTAAATACTACAGCTTCTTTGACTTGAATCCCAAAGTAAGATATATTTTCTTTACTCTCTCTTTTTTTTTTTTTATTTGAATGCATGGAAGTGTCAAATTAAGTCACTTAGTTATCATAATTTGTGTGATTTTCTGTTAACTCTACAGGGTTAGATTAATAAATGTATACTGGGCTCTGGACTTTCACATTTTGGTCTCTAAAGATCATGGTTATTGGGGTCTCGAGGGGGTCTTCATGCCCAGCATGGTGGGTGCTACCTGTCTCCATTCACAGAAATGAAGGCAGGAGCAGAGAAGCTTCACAGGGCCAGAGTCCTTAATGCTTAGGAAGGAAGTAGTTGTCAGGGCCCAGGTAAGACTGGTTGTTATGAACAAGTCCAGACCCCAGGAAGGCACATGCCAAATTCCCTACTGCAGTGCTGATGACATCTTTGATGATGAGAAAGAGGGGTCATCTATATAAATAAAGATCCCAAGGCCTCCCTGGTGTTGCAGGAGTTAGTCTCAGAGCTATCAAGCTATCACCAGCCACTGCAGCATGAGTTCAATCCCCAGCCAGGGAGCAACCCACATGGCACAGCAGCCCTCTCCTGTCTCACCTACTGCTCCCCTCAGCAGTGTATTTCAGTAGATCCACCTGTTCTGCTCCCCACTCTGTCTCTGGTGAATCCTCTCATCACCACCCCCCATCTCTGGCCTATACACCAGTCCTTGCATGCATAAATGAGTAAAAATAAATCTTTAAAAAAAAAAAAATCCCAACAAGTGATCACCAGTTTCCCTGTGAAGTTTCCTAGGAAAACTGAATCGTGGAGCAATCCCTCCTAATTTCTGCACCTTCCATGCCCCTGACTTGCTCTTTTGTCGAGTTGTCAGTCAGCACTTCAGTGGCCAAATGTAGGAGATGTCAACAGGCTCACAGGTCCTCTGAGAGCACGGGGGCATTTCTTCCTACTGCTCCCATCCCGATTATGTGCTTGTTCTTTCTGTTACTCTGGGCGCACTTGTTTCAGGGACTTTCCCAGGTCACCTTTCAGTACACACCTCTTGTCATCTACAAGTGTGTCCATTTCTCATGTCTTCTTCATGGGCCTGATGGTCTTCAAAAGCCCATCTCAGCTCCTACTGCCTCCCTCTGGCACCTTCTTCAAAGAAGCCTTATTCCTTGTCACATCTGTGAGGTTCCTGCAGGCTTTAGATCAGATACAACTTCGGCCCTTGGACTTCGCTTGTGTGCATAACTTGAGTGAGTCATGGCGAAAGAACAAAATTTGTTTCTTCTCTGATAAAACTTTCAGGAAAAATTACAGTGCTGCTTCTCTTTATTTTGTTTTAAGAACACTGTGAATTACACAGCTGTCCAGTTTTTCATTTTTGTGTTGTCTGCTAGATCCAAATCTGTTTTCTATTATTTCCTCTTTAAGCCTTAGTCCTTGCATAATTCTTAGTCCAATTTAAGCTATCTTACGTGTTATACATTTTAATTAGCTGCCTTAAGTTTGTTTTCTGAAACTAGATAATACATAGATAACAAATACTCATGCATTTTCTTATTGCTAAGTCAGTAATTTGGCTCCAACTTCTCTAGCCAAACTAATGACCCTGTTTACTTATTAATAAACAATTAAGTGAGCAATTTACTATACCCAGGGAACTAAGCTAGCAGCTGAGAAACCAAAACTCCTGGACATTAGAATAGGGTTTTTAAATTGATGAAATAAAATACATAGATTTATAAGATGAAGCAGTTTTAAGTCAAACTATTACTGTCACCAAAATCTTTTTTCCAAAATGGTCATATTAATAATATGTTTAATTAATTGAATAACATCTACTTGTCTAGGTCTCACAACTAACACGGCTAGAGTAGTGTGTGTAAGTATTCTTTGAAAACAGCAGGAACTACTGTGATACAATATGAACATTCTGTGATTCTGATGCTCACAGTGTCACAGGCATTGAGTAATACTGCGGTTCGCCCCTACATTCATCCTGGAAAGAAGTGCTAAATTTCTACTAGAAAGAGTTCTCGAAGAGATAAGACTTATTAGGACACCTGTTAATGGCTGAGAAAGACGAGGGGCTGTCCCAGGGCCTCCTTGGGACTGCAAACAAGCCTGCAAAAGAGAACAAGTCAATACACTGGTGCCTGCAACTGAGAAGTCCTGTCCTCAGAGTGGCCAGGGCTCAGCCCAGATATGATTATGACATCTTGTTCTAGAGCCTGTTTGTCCCCTGATGTCACTTTGTAAAGGCAAGTAACCTTTGTGCAACCAATATTCTTGCAAAGAATCATTTTATTTGGCTTGGGAAGGAGGCTTCAGGTATGAAAGCTTTTATTAACTTTAAAATCTTTACTGACTGCATTTGAGAGAACAGCTTTATTGGGTTACTTAACTTATTCTCATAAAATTCCTACAACATTAGGATAGTAGACACTGACAATTAGATAGATAGAGATAGAGATAGGGATGAATGGATGGATGGATGGATGGATGGATGGATGGATGGATGGATGGATGGATGGATGGACGGACGACGGACGGACAGATAGATATGACAGTTTGTTAGTCCAATTCAAATTTCAATGATTGTACATACTATTTAGATTTTGTCTTTCAACTGAATTAAATTAGGGATCTTTTGGGGTTTTTTTCCCTATACATTGTATATAGTTTCTTTTTTGTCATGTCTTTTGATTGCACCATAGTTTACTATATAATTTACATGCCATAAAATTCACCCATTGTAAGTATACAATATAAAGATTTCTAGTAAGTTTATATCATTGTGCAACCATCACCATAATCCAGTGTTTAAACATTTGCATCACCCAAAAGAGTTTCCTCATATCCATTTATGGTAAGCCCTAGGTCCCAGCCTCAGAGCGTCGCTGGGCTGCTTTCTGTCTTGAGTTTTGCCTTTTCCAGAAATTTCATGTAGATGGACTCACACAGTATATAATTTTGTGTCTGGACTCTTCTGCTTGGCTGATGTCTTTGAGATTTATCTGTGTTATTGTGTGGGTTATAGTATGTTGCTTTTCACTGCTAAGTGGCATCCTGTGCGGGTGGGAGGGTGTGAGGCTGAGTGGATGGACTGATGGATGGATGGAAGGACAGACAGATGGACTACAATGTGTTTATCCACTCACCAGTTGAGGGACATTGGATTGTTTCCAGTTTGGGAAATAACGAATAATGTTTTTGTAAAGATTCTCAGGTGTGTTGCTTGAGTGATTCATCTTTTGAGACTTCTGGGACTAGTTCCATGACCCCTGACAAAGTTCACAAAATAAAGACAGACTTCCTTAAGATTTGCATTATTCCAGCCTCCTGAATACCATACACTTGGTTTTGCTTTTGTCTTCCTTTCCTCAGCAGCTTTAGAAATTCTGAGAATGCCTGAACAGCATATTACATTTGTACTTCTCTGATGATAGTAGTAGGACTATTTGCTGATTTTAACTAACTTCAGCTTTTTACTTTGCCTATCACCTAGGTAATGTTCCAGGTATATTTTTCCTTTCGCATTAACTTTATGCATACTAAGGAAAAATAAACTAGTGCTAATCAACCCATGATATATCCATTTAGTTACTGTTTCGATTCCTCCTCCATGTTTTCTCCAACATTTGTATTTAAAATAAAATAGCATCAAATACATAAGCACTGTAAAAAAGAATCAAGTTATTCAGTGGGTCCAGAGTTTCAGTGTTTCAAATTGAAAAGAGTTCTGTAGGTGGATGGTAGGATGGTTTTACAACCTTGTGAATGTACTTAATACCAATGGACTGTACGGTGAATAATGGTTAAATTGGTAAATCTCATGTCATATATATTTTGCCAAATTAAATAGCCTGATGATGAGCCATCCTTTGCAAACCTATTTTTGAACAGCTGTTCATGATCTTTCACTCTACATAAATGAAATCATCATCTGTTCTGTGACTTGCTTCTTGGATCTTCCTAGTAGATCATGGCCATCATTTCATGTCACAGTGCTTACCTCTGATTCACTTTTTTTGCCCACTAAAAAATAGTGGAAGAAAAGTCTTACCTGTAGTTTGTTACCTGAATTAAGGCTTCCTGCATCTGATTAACAGGGAATGATCTCAGCTACTCTGGAATTTTTTTCACTGTGAATATAAATATGCCTGCCTCATGCACACACACTCATTTCCTTCTCTAGTATGATGCGGTCCGAATAAATCAACTCTATGAACAAGCCAGGTGGGCCATTCTCTTAGAAGAAATTGACTGCACAGAAGAAGAAATGTTGATTTTTGCAGCACTGCAGGTATGAACTCTTCAGTACCTTTTCTCTAAAGGAGACAAAGCCAGTTTGTTCTGCTTTAAAGTTTCCTTTTCTTCATATTGTCTTTTCTTTGAAGAAAGAGCTGAAGGTGAGGGAAGTAAATTTAAATGTAAAATGCTCCTCATAGCCCACACGCGTGCACCTCTTTGGGAAGGCATTAGTCTTCCACTCTTACCTCTTCCCCACAAGCTCAGCCAGCAATGAAGAAGAACTAAGTTTGAACCCATCCATAAATCTCACAGTGATTTTGATGTAAATGTCCTTTCCCCTACACAGGAGGGAGAGCTCCTAGGTGATGTTCAGGATTACAGGAAAATTGTCCTTAAAGAAGAAACGGCTGGTGGAGTCCTTTGTGTTAATCACATTTCAGAAATCTGTTTTTTTTGTTGGTTTTTTTTTTTTTTTTTGTAACTGATTTTATTTTAATTTTTTTTTTACATCATTGGTCATTTTTTTTTTTTTAGTGTCAACTTACAATTTTTATTTGAATGTAAAAAAATCAAAAGAAACCACATGCATATTCATTGAGAATTTAGCTTTGCTTCCTGTGGATTGAAATAGAACCACAGTCCTCTTCTTGGGTTACCTGAGACCTCTCTGGTCAGACTTTTCATTCTTGAGGACCTCCCACAATTCTGTGCCTGAACCCTCTCTCAATGAGAGAGGGCTCATTGGTCATTTTTGAACAATCTTTGCTTCCCCCACCCCCTCAGGTGTAGTCCCCACAGAGTTTCCTTCCCCAATTCACCCATGCACCATCACCTCAGTCCCCTGTGCTCCTCCCTCCCTCCCTCTGATCCCTCTCCCTCCTCCTCCCTGCAGTATGTCTCTGGTTTATAATTGTCTGTTTTTGCTTTGTTGTGTTTTGTACTGTTATTTTTTTATGCTGATGTCTTATTTGGTTCCCCTATAATCCTGTTATAAGCGAAACCAAGCAATATTTTTCTTTTTCCTTCTGGCTTATTTCACTGAGCATAATTCCTTCTAGCTCCATCCACACAATGGAATATTATTCAGCAATCAAAAAAGATAAACTCATGCCATGTGCAGCAACATGGATGAAATCTCTGTTTTCTTGTAGTATCACATTAGCAAACTGTCGTTGTCAGCTGAAACACAGGATTTTACAAAAGAGACTGAGGTTGATGAAGTAGAAGCAGCACTTTCTAATTTGGAAGTGACCCTGGAATGTGGAAAAGCCGATAACACCTTGGTATGAACATCACTAATATCTCAGAATTGATGCTTTGTTCTGATCTATTGAAAAGTATTTATGAACTGTTTTAAATTTGAAATAAGAAAATATTTCACTTATTTTGGAAAATATGCACCTGACATATTTGAGAAAAGAAAACATGAATCTGACAAGTTTAACCTAGTGGGAACTGAATAGCTTTCTTCAGGTCAGCTCTGCAAGGAACTGCAAGATACTTTTATGACTACTAATTAGGGTGATCTTCATTGTGTATCTTTTGAGGGCTAAATTAGCATGAAAGGAGGGGAAAACTGTTGGATGCTTATTTCACTAGTGGGGAACATGGAATTGGTTCTTTTGCTCAAGTCTAGGAAACACCATCCAGTCTATTGCATAGGATAGCTGTGAGAATACAGAAAACACAGACACAAAGACATGGGAGTAATTATTGGGTTAATCACATTGAATCACAGAGACAGCTCCACTGTAATTAAATGTAAATAGTAACATAAAAAAAAGAGCTACTATGTCCTTAGGTATTTAATGTGTTAGATTATGATTAAATTCCTTAAAGCAGGAAATATACATCAATCAAAAGCAAATATTTGATGTAAACTAAACTCCTTTCTCACATTGATAGGAGATACAGACTGCATAAAATTGAAGTTCTCTTTATCAACTTCCTCCACTCAATGTAGACAATGAGAAAGTGATCCTTCTTAGGATAAGTGAAAATTTCTCTCCTCCCTCCCTCAGTATTTTGTAATGCTAAACAGGAGGCTTTTCAGCCTGAAAACAGGCACCAACCAACACTACAGAATCAACCAGGCTGCTTCTGAGAGCTTGATCAGTGAACTAGATGCAACTTAAATTACTCACTCTGGCATAAACTGTAAAATGCCAAACTTATATATAAGTAGTTTCTAACTCAAATTTTAACTTGAATGGTAGGTCAATTTTTTAATCTGTTTGTCATTTGTGTGATATATGAAACATACCCAGAAACACACCAGGAAACCATCTGAATCAAGATACAGAATTTTACCAAACACCCCAAGAAGCCCCCACATGTACCCCATCCCATTCCCAACCCACCCCCAGCCCTGCTCCCAAGGTAACTACTGGAGAAGTGGCTAGTGTGTATATGTGTGTGTGTGTGTGTGTGTGTGTGTGTGACTGAGAATTAAGTTTTCATTTCATTTAATGTTAATTCACTCTAATCCTATGAGTTGTGTGTGGTGAATGCTTACAACATTGGACAGTGCAGTGCAGAGTGTCAGCAACCACCTGCTTATGAAATCTCATCTATTTTTTCCTTAGGAGGACATTACTGATATCCCTACACTTGCAGATAATCTCAAATTATTTAGGTAAGTCACATTAAAGGGGGAAGGGCTACTTCCCTAACAAAACACAGCAGGTAAAGAGTTCAGGAGTTTAGATTATACATTCCATCAGGCAGGTTCATGGTCAAAGATAAGAGCATGAGCTTTAGCATCGGAGAGATGAATCAAATCCTCACTCTGTGGCATATTCAAGCTGGGTAACCTTGGGTCATTGTGTCTCTGAGCCTTAGTTTCCTGTAAATAGAAAAATCACCTCCTCTTGGGTTTGATAGGAGGATTAAGGAAAATAACGTATATGGAGCATTTAACCTGGTGCCTAGTGCATGGTATACACTCCATAAATGGTTCATCCTCAGTAATGAACGTCTATTCTTATCTGGAGTTGCTATTACAGTTCATCTGGGAGGCTTGGGTCTCTGAAGCTATTTTCACAGTTTAAAAATCAATTGTCTCTAGAACTTTGATCCTGGGCTTATAGAAAGTGGTCACTTTAAAATATTTCTGATAAATTCCCTGGTCACCGCAGGTCAATCTGAAACTCTTAAAAGGCAGAGAAGTTTTTATACTGTAAAAAGAAAGGACTTCCATGTTTGTAGTGGCGCCAAGTTCAGATAAAAGGACTTGGGTCCCTTTGAAATTCTGTCAGTTATTTATGTCACTTTATGGTTTGTTGACCTTTCTTTTTTTTTTTTTTAAGATTTTTTTTTTTTAATAGAGGCATGTTTTTATTTATTTATTTGTTTGTTTGTTTTGTTTATACATGCACTGGGTACAGTCAGAAGCATGGGAGGGTGAGAGAATTCACCAGAGCCAGAGCGGGGAGCAGAGCAGGCAGAGGGACCGAAATACACTGCTGAGGGGAGCAGCGGGTGGCAGGAGAGGTCTGCGCGCCATGTGGGACCCTCCTCCGGTGGCCGGGGAGCAGCCGGGGATCGAACCAGCACCGCAGAGGCCGCGGGCAGCTTCGCAACCCAACGCTCAACCACTGCGCCACCGGGGAGGCCCTGACCTTTCTTAATAAACTGACACTTCACTAGTTCAGTTGGTCTAAAGAGAAACACAAGTTACTCAGATACAAAAGATACAAAAAAAGACTTGGAAAGAATGAACAATGAATGGGGTATAAATGAGAGACAAGGGTCAGAAGGAAACAATATTTGTCACTGGGTTTCTCCAGGTTTTTTGGTGTGTTTTCCTTTCAATGTATTGTTGGGTGTGGTCTCAAACAATAGAATCATTCATAAAATCTCTAGCACAAATAGTTGCAACCATACATACTGTTATACAGAGCCAGAGCAAGAAAGAAACCAACTGAACTACAAATAGATCTTTATAAATTATTAATAACTGAAGAAATCAGTTGTGATATTCTCTGTATTGAACAAACCCACTTGTCACAAACGAAATGATAATCTCCTTTTACAGATGTTTTTGATGAAGGAGATGGTATTCAGGAGTTAAGCCCCACATCCATATCACCATAGTGTAACTGTTAGACCCACAAAAGTGTCCTCATATTTAGTCAGTAGTCTCTTTGTCTGTCCAAGGCCTCAAGACATTGGATTCCATACAGAATATTGTTCATGGAAGAAAGAAATGAAGCGGGGAGAGGGAAGGAGGAAACAAAAGGAATGGCGATGGTGGAATAGAGCGTCATTCCTGGTGGGTGTGTGACCTTAAATGAGCTTTCATTTCCCTGGGCTTCCTTTCCTTATCAGTAGAAAAATATTAAACCAGCCCTGTGATTTTTAATGTTTTATTCTTTAACAGTGAAACTTGTTTTTTCTTGAATAAAATCCACGGAACCTACCATAGAGATAGTGAGCTTCCCTCTCTAGCAACCGATGGACTGCATCTAAAGGCAGCTAATCTAATGTGAACCCCAATCTTGCTACAAATATATATGAATGCTGGATAAAACACAGTTGATCTTGGAGTGAGACTGGGAAGTCCCAGCTTGCTGGAAATAGAAGAAACCTAGTCACAAATGAAGCCTCAGCTGCACAGAGGGAGTGGGCCATGAACATAGATTCTTATGGCTTGGGGCTGGTATTTTAATCCCTGTAAAGGGACAGAAGATGAAGCTTTAATGCTTATGTAGGACAGTGAGACAGGACTGGAGCTCCTGCAGAGACTTGCAAACTTGCCAGGGAAAAGAACTTCCTGTCACCCAAAGGGAGCAGTAAGGAAGCTCATCCTTGCATAGGGAAATGAAAAGCCTGTCTTGAGACATCAGAACCTAGATCTATGCCAATCACCAGTGTAAATCTAAATTGAAATGTTTGTATAAGAGACTCATCCTGAGAAAATGAAATAGAAATTAGTCCAGATCACTAAATTTATGAAGCCCTAGCAAATGTAATTGCAAACACATTTGGAGGAAAATAGCCACAATGTAGCATGCATGGGCAATGGGCCTTCTACAGAAATATCCTTTATATCTTAAAAAAAAAAAACCCTCCAAATTACAATTAATAACCATCTGAGTTAATGATCCACCATCAAAGAGAGAAAGCAGAGCCAGCAAACAAGAGGACTATTTATTTCCATAAGAACCATATGAAGAAGAACCATATAATGAGTGTTATAAATCATTAAATTTAAATTACAATGAAAGAAAATAGGCAATATTAAATAGAGACCAAATAGAAATCCTAGAAATGAAAAGTAGACATAGAAATTTAAAATTGAATAGGTGCATTAAACATCAAGTTTAAAAACACAGATGAAGATAAGTAGAAATGGAAAATGTAAGATAGATAGAAAGAGAATGTTCAACATACATCTCCTAGGAGTCCCAAAGGGGAGAAATGGAGGAAAGCATTCAAAAGAGAACGCTTGAGAATTTTTCATAATTGTTGAAGATAAAAATCTTTTGATTCAGGAGTCACAAGTCCCAAGTAAAAGTAATCAGTATAAATGTGCATCTTCAAACAAGCAATGATTGATGACAGAAAAGACAGATTTCCTACAAGGGAAAAACAATGCAATGGGCAGAAAGCTTCTCATTGCCTTGAAAATATCTTCAAAGTGCAAGAGAGCTAAGTCAATCTAGAATTGTATGCCCAGCTACTCTTTTGAGCTTCTGGTTTTGCCAACATAAATATAAATTACACAAGATACAATCCTACCAGCAAATTTCATGTTTGACAAAAACATTTACACTTAAACTGTAAGGTGTAATCACTGTTGAAGAAAGAGAGCACTTTGAAATAAATAGAATGGCTCCACCATGTGGAGGGAGAGGCACACATAAAATTCATTCATTGCATCGTTAGATAAGTTACTGGAAGTTCCAGTTAGAACTTACACCATGTGCTACAGGAGATAATCAGTGAGATTCATTTTATAAATATAAGATGTTTTATAAATATAGTAGATTCTTGTTCATTCATAACCAAACTACTAGACTATACGAACAAAATAATGTTTACCAGAAGGGGGATGGGTAAACCAGGTAAAAGGGATTAACTCAGGTACGTGATGGAGAATAGACTTCTGATGGCAAAAATAAGGTAGATGTACAGGTCTTCATGGTGTTTTTCATTAATGTATTTTTACTCCCCATCTTAGTTTTTTCTTTTTCTTTTTATTATTCATCTATTTTTAGCTGAGACAATATTGGGACAAGAGTTGATTTCAAAAGTCTGCACACCTGGTCTGAGTCTAATCTTATAAGCTAATATCATTTAAAATAGATAGATGTGTGTGTGTGCGTGCACATATGTGTGCAAGGTATATAACTATAATACTTTTAAAGAGAGGAAAAGCGGTCAGAAAATCTTTGGTCTCATATCAAAGTTCACTGATTAGCACATGAAAAAGGGCCTATAAGTACTTATACATTTTTGATTTTTTTAATAAATGTTCCAAATTTATGATTTTTTTCTGTGATAAGTAGGCATGAGTAGTAAGCTTCAAGAGAGTTTCAAAATAATGCATGCACTTAATCTTTTTTTTTTTTTTTTTAAATATTAAATTTTATTTTTATATTCCCCCATACAATTGCAAACGCCCCATTCTGACCCCAATCCTTCCCCTCCCGCCCCCCACCCCCCAAAAAGTGTCTCTGGTTCATAGTTTTTTGTTGATTTTGATTTTCACTTTCTTATATTCATTTTCCTGGTCCCTTATTTAAGTTTTCTAGATTCCTGCTATGAGTGAGACCATCCGGTATTTTTCTTTTTCTTTTTGGCTTATTTCGCTGAGCATGATCCCTTCCAGTGCCATCCATGTTGCTGCAAATTGCATGTGTTTATCTTTTTTGAATGCTGAGTAATATTCCATGGTATATATGTACCACATCTTCTTGATCCAGTCATCTATTTTTGGGCATTTGGGTTGTTTCCAAAGCTTAGCTATTGTAAACAGTGCTGCTATAAACATAGGAGTGCAGGTGCTCTTTGGAATTGATGTTTCTGTGTCCTTTGGGTAAATACCTAGGAGTGGAATTGCTGGATCATATGGAAGCTCTATGTTTAGTAGGTCCAGAAATCTCCACACAGCTCTCCATAGTGGTTGGACCAGTTTGCACTCCCACCAACAGCATGCACTTAATCTTAATGAGAGCTTTCCAAACATTGCCATGCCACAGTGCTGTCAACACTGCCCTATTCAAACAATATTATCTGCATACCTTTAACACTTGCACACAGAATTTTTCTGTGTTAAACACCATCCAGTGTAAGAGTTACAGTGTTTTAAACCTACTTATTAAAACACATAAAAATGTAACTTATTCTGATCAATATGCACAAGTGAGGCCTTGGCATCAAGTAAGATAGAAATTAGTAGCTTTGTTTTATCAACAATCCTCAGAAATAGGTAGATGGCATTAAATTATGAAGACTGATTTAGTAAACACAGCCCACAGTCTACTTCCTTGGCTGGGCAATATGTAACTCAGTAATAACCTCCCTTGTTGAAACAAACTGAGTTTTTCAGATTCACTCTTTTGTCATGTTAATGTTTATGTAGGTTTTATAGTAATATACAAATATATTGCAAGTAAATGGCTATAAATGTGCTAGGGACTAGATACAATATTTTAAATATAGGGTGTGCCCAGTTTTAGTTTGGAGGTTACTGGTCTAGACTAATATTTCTCAAACTCTGGGCAACCACCTTAGGAAGCTTTCTTCAAATGCAGATGCCTGAACCCTTACCTGCATCTGCCAAAGCTGAATCTCTTGCACTAGGGCCAAGCTCCCTTCTGATTCTGATGGACACCAGCATTTGAGAACCAATCTAGAATATAAAATTAGGAAGGCATTCAAAGTCCCACCTGAGTCCCAGCCTACCTTGTCCTTGTCTCTATCACCCCCATACATGGAACTGACATCCCCACAGAAGCATCTATTGTTTAGAGCATCTTGATCTGCTTGAAATTTGTGTTGTGTTCTACATTTCTAGATGGCTGTTTAAACACCTCTTTTACTTTAATTTGTAGGCCCAAGAAGCTAGCATTAAAATCTTTCAAACAATACTGGTTCGTCTTTAAAGATACATCTATAACCTACTTTAAAAATAAGGAACTTGAACAAGGAGAACCAGTAGACAAACTAAATCTTAGAGGTAAGATTAGAGGTAAGGTAAGACAGCTTTCTGTGGCTTGTCATGACCTAGTAAGTGAATGAAAGCCTCCTGCCTATGGAAACAAGGTTTACTTCAGAGGAATCTCTGTGTCGCTGGCTTCAAAATGGCGGCTTTCCTGCAGCTTCTCTTCCCTGGGGACTTGGAATGCAGTCCAGTAAGTGTGGTTATTTCCATTCTGCTGTCCCTTCTTCCCCATTGTATCCAAGTTTATGAAGTGGGGGTAATTGACATCATAAGTATAGTACATGCAGCACTGTATGATCCTGAAAAGCTTTCTGGATTCCAGAAGTGATATTTGATTCTTGTTGCTTAACTGCCTATTCTAATTTCTCAAATTGACTGCAGAGATTCTAGTCTATTGATGAAATATTTAATTAACCAGTGCCCCAAGTCCTTCTGCTTTGGTTTATTTTAAAACTCCTATTCCGTGTCATTCTTATGAGTTAGAATAGCCAAATCAACCTGAGAAGTATATTCAATTGATGCTGTATTTTTTTAAAATCATAAAAGAAAATGTTCTTCTTTATGCATGTTAATTCACCAGTCTTATTTGGTTATCCTTTAATTATTGTTATCAGTTTGCTCCTCTTTTTCAGAAAAGAACCGAATCTAAGGTCTTTGTTAGACACACACCTGAAATGTATGTACTGTATCCTCAGAACTGTTTTGCCCCTGCCTTTTATCATTCAGGCTGTGAAGTTGTGCCAGATGTAAATGTATCAGGGAGAAAATTTGGAATCAAATTACTAATCCCTGTTGCCGATGGAATGAATGAAGTGCATCTGAGATGTGACCATGTAAGTAAAACCACAAAAATGTTGTCACTGCCCCTTTGTGGAGGACAAAACAACTGAGCTGCTTTCATAAATCAAAACACTAATGTATCAATTATCTCTTGCTTCGTAACAACCATGAAATCGTGTTGACATATATAAATAAACATTCGTTTCTGAAACATATGCAGGTAGACTGGGGGTTGGGTCATTGGGCTGGATGGAAAGATCTGCTTTGGCAGGCCTGGCAGGCTTGGCTTCTTGCTGCAGGTTGAGTTCATGTGTTTATTCTGGGCCCCAGGCTGCGTGCTCAGGGAGGATCTGCAATCTGCCATCACAGGAGGCAACTGCAGACATGTGAGCCTTCCTCAGGCTTAGCTTGCAGTGGGTACCCCATCATTCCCACCCATGTTCTATTAGCCAAATCAAGTCTCATGGCTGGGCCCAAAGTCTAGCAGCAGGAAATTACACTCTGGCTCTGACGGGAGGGGCTGTAAAATTACATGCAAAGGGTGCCGATACCAGAGGGTGAAGCTGGAGGCAGGAATTCAGGGTACCACACCTACTGTTGGACTGAAGAATCCCACACTTCAACTGTACACCCTCAACTTCTGGGAGCACGCCTCTTCACTCCCTGGGGTGGAAAATGAGCAAAGGGATTAAAGAATAGAAGTCAGCACTGTGGCTCAGATCACATCAGTGGACTTTGTCTTCACTACGGATATCTGGCCAGGGTAGAAATACTATGGGAATCAATTAATGATCATTGCCTCAATTTCCTTTTGTCATAGCGATCAGATGTGATATGAAAATGGAAATGTGTATTAAGGACGACTGCCTGGTAGTTTGGGTTTTCATTTGTCCATGTGCATGACACTCCTGTGTGTCCTCAGCTCATCTTTACATATAAAGTTCCTAGTGCATAATTTATCAAAGCTCATGTCCCCATCCTCTAGTACCTTAGCATCTAGAAACTCAACACAGGACTCAACAGCTTCTGTTGGGTGTTAAGTTAGGTGATTAACCGCCACTCAGAACACGTGCCTTATGCCATTTTCCTTGTTTGGAAAGCGATAGTTTTATATTTCAGAGCCGAAAGCTCAAGTTCAATGCCTAGCAGGGTAGCTTTGCATTTGAAATTGCTTCTGAATCCTCTGATGTTTGCTACAGGAGAATCAATATGCCCAGTGGATGGCTGCCTGCATCCTGGCATCGAAGGGCAAAACCATGGCAGACAGCTCCTACCAGCCAGAGGTCGTCAACATCCTCTCATTTCTAAAAATGAAAAACCGCAGCTCAACATGTCAGGTAGCCTCCAGTCTCGAAAACCTGGACATGAACCCAGAAAGTTTTGTGTCACCTCGGTGTGCAAAAAAATACAAGTCTAAACAGGTACCGTTGATCTTGTTGGGACCATTGATTATAGTGAAATCCATATTTTCTAAAATAAAATGAGGAATTAAAATATTGCAGATGCCATGAGAAATCAGCAGAGAGGGAGATTTTATGATGGTTGGGTATTAAATATATTAAGAAGTTAATGTTAATTTTGTTAAAGGTAAATATACTGCTAACTGAACTTGCCAATATCCCCAGATTTAATATAATTAAAAATAATTTTAACTATGCTTCTGTAGAGTGGTTAAAAGTCACAGAGATGAACTGATTCAAGTAGAACCATTGTCCCTGGACACTGCATGGACCCCCAAATGAGAAACCCATCTGAGTGAACCTTAAAAACTTAGGTTGATCTTGTTTTTGCTTCTCCCCAGTGACTTACATGTCTTGTAGAAAGACAGAATGAATGAATGGTCTTTATAGAGCTACAGTTGGGTCTTGCATTTGTTTTTCTTATTGGAAATCTGAGCTAACAGGATCAGAGAGCAGTAAGCATGTACTAAGGAGAGTTTGACATCCTCCCCTTCTGCTTAGCTGGCAACCCGGATTCTGGAAGCCCACCAGAATGTGGTCGATATGCCCCTGGTGGAAGCTAAGCTGCGGTTCATCCAGGCATGGCAGTCTCTACCTGAATTCGGCCTCACCTACTACCTTGTCAGGTGAGTACAGTTTTCACCTGTGTCTCTCACATTCCAGTCAGTGTTAAGTGCTCTTCTGGGAGCCCAGCGGCTTCTCATAGTCTCAAATAAACTCTTCTCAGTTTAGAATACTGCCCTGTCACAAATGTCCCAAACATGTTTGTGCTTAAAAATCTCCTATAGGTCTGGTCAAAGTGCTAAGACCTATGAAACCTAGCTGCCGGAGGGAAAGGAAATTTTCAAGGGAGATTTGGTTCTTTAAGGACAACACCATTTGCAAAACCAAAGGAAGAAATCACATAATGATTTTATGAACTCTGTCCCCTCCCTTCATATCAACTTCCTCCCACTTGTGGATCTCATACCATGTCTCATGGTATGGCTCTACAGAATGTCTAGGATTTTCTAGGCAGAGAAGTCTCAACAAACCCTGTGCCTTATTTTCACACAGTCTTCTCAGGAAGTGAGCTCATTCTCATGGTCTCTGAAGATTTCTGGGCCCAAAATAAAACCAGGGGTGCCAGAGTAGCTGCTTGGGGCCAGTTCCTCCTCCAGCCCCCAACCTCTGTGAACTCTTTGGCTTCTCTGCAAAGCTTTTTTGGCTTCTTGAACTCTTCCTTTGGAGGTCAGCTGCTGGATGCTGTTTCTTTCTTCTTTAGAGGTCAGGAACAATGCAAGAATCTAGCGAGTGAGCCCAAGCCTCAGAGAGTTCTGAGCCGTTGTCTGCCCTGCCTTATATCCTCTTTCAGGGACCCACACCTACAAATCTGACTGGATGGGTTTCAAGCCTGTAGCTGATTGGACCATAGCACCAACCAGCTCATAGCCCACACCTGATTGGTCCATTCTACGACCCAGGCACCAAATCCATGGGCTCCTCTACTGCCTGCAGCTGGAGGGAGCCACAGCATTGGCGCGACCCTGTGGGGCCCCATGCTCCTCTCTCTAGCCAGAACCAGGGGCTGCCTGCCCTGAGACACTGTGGGACGGAAACCACTGCTGCCCGCCATCACTACTGGCCTCTGTCTCCAGCCTGAGCCCCAGTGGGGCCACTGGTGGGAGACAGGAAAATGCCCACCATCCACTAACACTTGCACTCCTCGTAAGCAATGCTCTGGGGCCTGGTGCTTGGAAGAGGGGATGCCCACAGTCAGCAACTCTGGTGCCCACAGTTTCAAAGGGACTTCTAGGTGGCCCATCTACTACCACCTTCTGTTTTACAGGTGACAACACTAAGATGCAGAAAAATGACACCAGGGACTTCTCCACATTCACCTCCTGGTCAGGAGCACACCTTGGCATGAACCCAGGGTCCTCACTCATTATCCCCAGCATGATGGCTCTGCCCTCTATATAAAATCATTCCCTAGAACTTGTCCACAGCAGACTTGTAAATTGACTCACATTTTTTTGTGTTCAAAAAGGAAGATTGATATTTAAGGGTAATCTGTTTAACCCTACAGTTAGAGAAGTATCCACTCCACTCTCTCATTTTATACTTGGCATTTGGAAGGTTGGCTTGTATTTTAAAGAGTTGACTTACAGCAAGGAACAATTTTTATTTGTTTTCCTGGTTCTTTCCACAGACCTAGCTTCTCCTACCCCCTCTAGCAGGGCATCTCAGCAAACTTTTCTGATCACCAGAGCATCTCATTTAAAATATGCCCCAATGTGTGTTCTAAACAGGCAACTCCTTCTGCTGTACTCACCCCAAGTAAAGAGGGAAGGTGAACAAAGCTGTGCTGTATATGCATTCCTCTGTGTGTGTGTGCATGTGTACACTTAACCATGAAGTCAGCCCCTCATCATGGAAAGAACATGGACACTTAAGTGAAGCAGGCCCAGCTTCCACCCCCCTCTGCAATCTCCTTGCTTGTGATGTTGGCCACCTTCATTAACCTCAGCTTCTGCTTTTGTGCAATGGGCATTCTCAACCTGCCTTGTAGGGAGAATTCAGGGAAGCAGGGCAGGTAAAGTACCTGATAAATTGTGAGGCATGGTGGCCCTGAAGAATGTCTGAAGATAGTCACTTCTTTACCTTACTTCCCTTCTTTCCAGCTGTCACCTCCCTCCACTCCTAGCTCTCCTCCAGCATCTGTTCATGGAGGTGGGGTTTGATGACAACCACCCCCAATTTAATGAAAACCGGCCTTTTCTAAGGTCACTCAGAAACAAGGGCTGGAGCAACCCTGGTCAGATGGCAGCCAGAAGCCAGTCACACCTGCCTCAGGCAAGTCCTAGCAGGAAGAAAAAGAAGTTCTGGCTTTTGCATTGTCTGTGTCTTTTGCCTACAGCACTTTCCCCCCAGATTGTGCACAGCTGCTCCCACAGACATCAGTTCTTCAATCCAGTACCACCTTCTCACCGAGACCTCCCCTGAGTCCCTATTGAAAATTGTAACAGGGCCTCCCTGGTGGTGCAAGGGATTAAGACGCAGCCTGTGAAGCTGTCCACAGCGTCTGCAGCACAAGTTCGATCCCCGGCAGACCAGGGAGCAACCCACATGGCTCAGCAGATCTCTCCTGACTCCCCTCAGCAGCGTATTTCCATCAATCTGCCTGTTCTGTTCCCCACTCTGTCTCCGGTGAATCCTTTCACCCCCCACACCTCTGGCCTGTACACCAGCTCTTGTATGCATACAATAAAAATAAATCTTAAAAAAAAGAAAATTGTAACACTCTCACTACCTTTAATCCCTATCTCACTTCTTTGCTTTCTTTTCTTTCAAGACTTTATCTTGTACATATATTTCACTTATTCGTCACCCTTGCTCCCCCCAAGAGAACATAAGGGCCACGAAGTCAGGAATTTTCTGTTCTCTGTAGGTCGCTGCACGTATCCACAGTGTCTGGCATATGCAGTTGGTGCTAATTTTGAGTGAATGGATTAAAGCCCCTCTTATTTTGCTTTCCTCTGACAGTAGTCTCTCTTAAGATAGTCCTAGTTCTCTCCACTCTTCATATTCTCTCTACCACAATAGAAATGCCCTTCTTAGAGAGTTAATGCGTCACCGTCCATTACTTGAAAACAATTTAGACATGTTGATATTTGCAGCCAGCTGAGACACAAAAGGATGTGGCTAAGTAGACTGTGGAGCACAGCTAGGGGTGCTTGGATGGTGGGTGGGGTGTGGTAACATACAGCAGAAAGGATACAAGCCTATCCTTCTGAATTATACACAATGTTGTAAACCAACGTTACTGCAATGAAACGAATACAGTTTTTAAAAATGCTGATATTATCCTTAAGTTGTTAATGAATGAAAGTGAAGCAGTTACTTCTTTTAATTAGTTTTGTTCTTTTTTCAGATTTAGAGGAAGCAAGAAAGATGACATTCTGGGAGTTTCATATAACAGGTTGATAAGAATCGACATAGCCACTGGGATTCCAGTTACAACATGGAGATTCGCAAACATGAAACAGTGGAATGTAAATTGGGAAATCGGGCAGGTAAAGTGAAAGTTTGGGGTATTTGGTGTTGAGACTGTAAATGTGTGTTTCCTAGAATTGCTGATTATTCTGATTTTTAAAAGGTGTTCTTATCTTCAGGATTAAAAAACTCCAGCATGTGGTAATTGTTGAAATAAGTAGATAGAGTTCTGGGTACTTTCCTAACAAGTTCAGGCCAAATGCTTCTGAATTAGCACAAGTCAGCTCAGTCTTCATACAGACTTTCCCTAAAGACAGACTGAAATTGCTGAGCTGTTTGACTCATGTCCTTCAATTCAGCATAGGATGGTATAAAATTTAAGCTGGTAATTATGCGGCAGAAACTAGCTGAGATGGAACTTCTGTCTGGGCCCAGGGGAACAGCCCCCACCCTTCTAGGTTCTTAGGTTGGACAAGCGAGCAAAAATCAACATCCGAGAGATTAGTAGGAGAAAAGATTCATTACATAGGTAATTACATTCATGACCAATAAACGGGACAAACCTGGGTTTACATCCTGGCTGAGGAATGGGATAGGGGTGGGGCATCAAGGAGAAAGTAGAGGGTCTCACATGATGAGGAAGGTCTGACGTCATACGACAAAACTTTGCTTCTAGATGTTTGCCCTGCCTTTAGATCGAGGTATCCAATAAAAAGGTTATTTCTGGAGATGTCCCTAAATCTAGGTAATCAGCATTCTGTAAGGTTATGGTAACAGTGTCTTCTGAGGCTCCAAAGGCTTCCACTAACATTTAGTTTCACCTACTAAGGTGACACGTATTGGAAAAAGCCAACTCTAGAATCTTGGGAAAAGCCTATCTGAACGTTTGAACTCATCTTACACTGTCATACAAACTAAACCCCAAAAAGACCTCAGCTGAATGGCCACCAGGAGATGTGTTGTTGTAGATTCAGAGGCTCCGCTGCCTCCCTGGAGAGCATTCCAGGCCCCAAAGGGCACTATCACCAGAGAGACAAGTGCACATGCACAGGGAGGACTATGAAAAACTTATCCTCTCGGGTTTTGGGGCCCTCAAATCCCCAGCACCATCTCCACTGGAGGAACCAAGGTCAGGTGAGGCCATATCCTCGGAAATCCTTGGTGATGCTGCAGACCTCAGCCTCCTGCTGATTTACCTCCTTCTGCTGGTGCTGACTCAGGATCTCTCTGCCCTCATGCCTGTGGCAGTCTCTCCCTGCACAAAGCCACCTGCCGAGAGGCTCTGACTTTTTTTTTAATATATTTTTTTATCATTGTTCATTTTTTTTACATCATTTTTCATTTTTGTACAGGTATGCATTTTCATCTTGGTTATAGTCCCCGTAAAATTCCCACCATCTTGTTTTGATCCTATTCCCTTCTCCCTCCCCGTAGTGTATTTATAGTTGCTTGTCAATTTTGATTTTTACTTTATTATAATTAGTCTTTTTCCTGATCCCTTATTTGGGTTTTCTAAATTCCTGCTATGAGTGAGACCATCTGATATTTTTCTTTTTCTTTCTGGCTTTTTTCGCTGAGCATGATCCCTGTGCTGTTAACTCTCTCAGGTCTTATTTGTGCAATGAAGATCTGAGATGAAAAGACCTCTAAGGCAGTGGCTTTCAAACCTTATTGCATATTTTGATCACCTGGGAGCTTTAAAACTCCACGGCCCAGGCCAGTTAAGTCTGAATCTCTGGGAGAAAAAGCTGGACATCAGTCATTTCTAAAGATCCCAGGTGATTCCCAAGTACAGCCAAGGCTGAGGACGAGTAATGCCTGTTTTTCCGAGCACTCAGCATTCATGACTTTTGGCTGGGAAGGGTTGCTGGGCCATGGCTGGAGGAAAATTCAGAGGGCCCCTTTTACTGTCTTTAAAAATCTGCAAAGCATCCTGTCCCTCCAAACAAGGGGTACTTAGGTCTTTCATATAAACTAGAGGCAGACAGACAGAAAATATGTTTTGGGAGTTAGAATGTTTTGACAATGTGCCGCAAAATGACACCACAAGAGGGCGCAAGGAGAGCAAGGCAGTGTTTTGTGACTATTAAATGGAGATGGTGAGTTTTCATGCAGTTTTGGGGGAAAATCCACCTGTCAGCTGCCTCAGCTCTGGAGCCCATTTCCAGCAAAGCAGACTCTTTCTCATCTTCCCTTGCCAGAGTTATTTAACCTGACCCGTGTCTGCCTCTTCCAGGTGGCCATCGAGTTTGACCAGAATGTCTCCATTGCGTTCACCTGCCTGAGTGCAGACTGCAAGGTCGTGCATGAATACATTGGTGGCTACATTTTCTTGTCCACCCGCTCCAAGGGCCAGAATGAAACGCTGGATGAGGAGCTCTTCCACAAGTTGACTGGTGGCCAGGAATGAAGCAAAGCAGGCCTGCTGGGCCTACACGGAGTGCGAGTCGAAGGCAGTGGCTGGCAATGCAGCATTTAGATTCCAAACTGGCAGACAACTGTATTCACCAGTTCCCCAGGATCCTTCCCTCATTTCAAACTTGCTGCCTGGCATATCCCTTTCCTTACTTTGGCCTGCGCTGCCAGTGGTGGAAGGGGCCTCAGTTGCCTTTTCTGTAAAATGGGTGGGCAGAGGAAGGAGTATGCGTTAAGATTGCTGTGGGGCCTAGCAGACAGCCAGCAACTGCGACTTGCAGGACCGACCAAGTGTCTGGCCGGAAGTCATCTGTGTGCTTATCAGCTTCCTTCCTGTCCGTGGAGAGGCTAGACAGGTCAGAAGCACACATAGCAAGGATAGATCTTACTCCACAATCTCAGGTATGAAAAGAAATCTGTTTTTCTTAACAGAATTGCTTTTTAGCACCCATCCTATGAAAAGGGTAGAGGAATCTTCACACACATTTTTTTTATGTAGAGGTTGCCGTCTGGGGGTTAGAGTAGGGAGAGGATGGTAACCTAGGACCTGTTGATGACAAGGGGTCAGAGCTTGGGCCCTCAGTGTCATGAGTGGCATGTGCTGCTGCTGTGACCATTGATTGACCCATCTGGTCTTGGGGGTTGGTGCCCTGTGGTTACTGCTGCCACCCTCACATCTGTCCCATTCCTGGGGATCCTTCAGTACCTTTATATCTTCCTTGAAAGCATGAGTACAGGGAAATTCATTCCTTGACTCAGCTCCATGTCTCAACTGCTTTTACTTTGGGGTTAGACTCAGGGATGAGCACAGTTCTCTCTGTTCATAAAAACTACCTCCCAGGATCAAGGCTTCCAGTGAGGTCTCCACCCCAACTGTGCAGGGAGAGAAGCACGGGATATAGAGCAAATCTATTTTCAAAGGCCACCAAGTTCAAGGGATGAAGGCTTCCCCACTGGTGTCTAGCTATGGCTTATTTGGGGGAGGTAGGAAAAACTTGCTCTTATCCCTAATATGTATTTTCCCAGATTTGGTGTCTGTTTACATGACTCCTGGCCTCTCCTCTAAAGGCCTTTGGTTTTGTAAGTCAAAAGCCAATATTAGGTTTTTTCTTCTGCTTTTTGCTTTTTGCCTTGAGGCATGAGTGTGGGCCAATGAATAGCTGACTCAGCTGTCATTTTCTGTTTGGGTTTATCAGCATAAGAAGAGTGGGTTTTGAGAAGGTAAAAAGCAATACTAGGGTAGAGGGAAATATCAGATTGTATTTCATTATGTTTTTATAAATGTGCTGTCGTTCAAAGGATATCCTTTGTGTTGCAAGGATAAGGCAGAGGCTGTTTCCATTTTGATGTTCTTTTAGGAAGCAAACTGTAGGGACTTGAGTGGACCACAGATGCCTACAAATATCAGCTGTTGCTTTATTTTTCCAACAAAGCCATTTGGGAAGGGCGATTTCCACAATTCCAGGGGATATGTGGAGATAGCCTTGCCTGGGGACCCACTAGACCCCAAACCAGAAGTTGTTGCTAGAAATTCTTCCTTTAGTCTCTGCTTAGAGGTGAATCTTGATGAACACCCCCAGGCACCAGCTAAACTTCTGAGGCCTCACTCAAAGCACAAAAGTGCCTTAGATACTTGGGAAATCTGATCCTAGTCAAAAAGTACTTAGTTTGAAAGGTTTTCTATAGAAACTAGTACTAAGTGTACTGCGTTAAACTTGGTGTTGGTCATTTCTGTATAATCGTGGGCTCTGTTATTTTACAACCTAGTAAATCAGGCCCTACATGAAAATAGTACTCCTTAATGTCACATTTTACCTGTCCATGACCGAGTGCAACTCTGCAGAATTTTCCAAAGCTCAGTTCCTCATCCTTAGCTTTTCATAGTTGTCAGATATTTCCATGAAAATATTCCAAGGAGCCGGCTGGTTTTAACCAGATTTTCAATGGAGCATTTCTTCTATAACTATACAGCCACTTCCCAAGAGAATAAGCAAATGCACCATGTCGCTTTAATGCTGTTATTCCAGAAAGCAACTTAAGGACTTTTGCTTTGGGTGCAAAAGGTCATCTGACTACTATAATGAAATTTTAAATTACTAAGTGCCATTTGCTTTCTTAGCTATGCTACATGGGAAATTTACATTTTTTATTATTTTATATGACTTAATTAAAAGGTTTATATGGATTTGAGTACTGCCTACTTGTGTCCTCTTCCATCTACTTGTCTAAAAAGGTGAACATTTTTCCATTATAAAAAAGGAGGCAGATTTTAGGTTTAACATGTGCTTCTCCCCTTGATTCTGAGATTCCAGCTCATTCTCCCCGGTGAGATTGACTTGGAAACTTCACTTAAGTGTTGTTTTCAATTCCTTTCTCATTAATGGTCACTAGATTTCCTAACACAACTGGTCTTGTGAACTCTTTTGTCCCTTTTCAAATCTACCTTTTGGAGAAAAAGCACCGAAGAGCAAAGAAATATCCAGAAGCAGAGGATTAGCAGAAGGCCTCTGATCTGATGTGAATGCAGAAGGCCACTTCTTTGATTTATGTGAGATGCTCCATAATGGGTATTTTGGATCAGCTGTTTATAATTATCCCTTTGTGTAATTCTCAAATCAACCCATAGGGGGCAGAAACTGCTTGATTTCTCATTACACACAGAAGAAACCATTCAATAGGTGAAGTAACTTGCCCAACACAATGAAATACTATTCAGCAATAAGAAAAGATAAACTCATGCCATTCACAGCAATGTGAATGGAGCTAGAAGGAATTATGCTCAGTGAAATAAGCTGGAAGGAAAAAGAAAAATATCGAATGGTTTCACTTATAGCAGGAATAGAGGGGGACCAAATAAGACATCAGTGTAAAAAAATAGGAACAGTACAAAACACAACAAAGCAAAAACAGACAATTACAAATCAGAGACATACCGCAGGAAGGAGGAGGGAGAGGGACCAGAGGGAGGGAGGGAGGAGCACAGGGGACTGAGGTGATGGTGTGCGGGTACATTGGGGAAGGAAATTCCATGGGGACTACACCTGAGGGGGTGGGGGGGAAGCAAATATTGTTTAAAAATGAACAATGATGTAAAAAAAATTTTTTTAATTAATTTTAAAAAAAGAAGTGACACAGAGATTCAAAACCAGGTTTGTCTTAACTCCGAGAGCACTAAATTTAACCCAGCAAACTCTACTCTTCCATTTCCAGCCTTGCCCAGCCTTGAAATGCCTCCCCCAGCCCCAGTGTAGGCTTCTCCCAGCTCAGCGTCCCTATGTTACTTACGCTGGTAGGAAAAGGTGAGGGGCATTCATGGATAAGTTGCCCAGGAGTTAGGTGGAATCAGATTAAAAAGATCTTGGCCCTCCATGTTTCCCAATCTCTTCCCATTTATTAAAGAGATTTTCCTTTCTCCATTGTATAGTCATGACTCCTTGGCCAAGAATTGACTGATCTTACTTGTGTAGGTTTATTTCTGGGCTTTCTATTCTATTTTGTATTTTTGCAAATATTGTATTGTTGCTACAATACAATTCCACACTGTTTAGATTACTGTTGTCATGCAGTGTAGGTTAGTCAAGGAGTTTTACTTCTTTTCCCTTAGGATTGCTTTGTCCAATCAGGACCTTTTATGGTTCCATAGAAATGTTATCATTGTTGTAATTTCTTGAGAAAAGTCATTGCGATTTTGATAAATATCACATTCAATCTGCAATTTGCTTTTGGTAATATGGCCATTTTTGAAGAATGAAACTAGATACATACTTAACTCCATACACAAATTAATTCAAAGTGAATTAAAGATTTGGATATAAGCATTGAAACCCTAAAATACTTAAAAAGAAAGTTAGATATATTCGGATATGCAACCCCAATGCCAAGGAAAACAAAAGCAAAAATAAACAAGCGGGACTATAGCAAACTAAAAGACTTTCGTACCCCAAAAGAAACAACCACAAAAACAAAAAGGCAACCTACAGACTGGGAGACGATATTTGCACATCACACATCTGACAAAGGGTTAATTTTCCAAAGGATATAAAGTGCATATACAACTCAATGGCAGAAAAACAGCCCAATCAAGAAATGGAAAAAGACCTATACAGACATTTTTCTTAAGAAGACATTCAGATGGCCTACGTACAAAACACAGAAAAAGTTCAGCATCACTTGCTATAAGGGGTTTGCAAATAAAAACCACGAAGAGATATCACCTCACCCCAATGAGAATGACCTCATCAAAAAGAAGAGGAATAATAAATGCTGGTAAGGATGTGGGGGAAAAGGTTGGTAAGAACGCAATTTGGTGCAGCCTCTATGGAATGGCATATGTTATGGCAATACCTTAAAAAAGTAAAAATGGAAATCCCATATGATCCAGCAATACCATGACTAGGTTGCTTGTTATACACCAGAAGAATAGGAAAACACTAATATGAAAAATCTTCTACGCTCATCGCAGCACTATGCACAATTATCAAATCATGGGACCAACGTAAGTGTCCAAAGACAGAGAACAAGATAAAGAAATTGTGGAAAATATACTCAATGGAGAGCTGCTCAGCTATTTTAAAAGATGAAACAGTGCCTTTTGGGACAAAAAGGATGGAACTTGAGGTGCTTATTCTAAATGAAATAAGTGAGAAAGTGAAAGATAGACATCAGATGATTTCACTCATCTGTGGAATATAAATAACAAAACACAGAGGCAAGACACAGCAAAAACAATTTTTTGAGATTTTGTGAAAAATGCACTGTAGGCCAGAGAAAATGGGGGTGAGAAGGGGATGGGGCAGGAATGGGGTAGGGCACGGGGTGAGTAAAGCATGTGTACATGTAAGGACTAAAAATGTAACCCCTAAGTTATATAGCTATGAACAACTGAAGAATTAGTTATAAAAATAAATTTAAAAGAAAAAAGATCTTGGGAGCTAGAGAAAGAGTCGTCGAATGAGTATTTTATTTTTGTTTCTGGGAAAGTCACATTTTTAGTCCCAAGGTCAAAAAAATAAGCAAATGAGTCTTTCATTTGGAAACTCATGTTTATGTTGTCAGTACTAAAAACCAAAATATCTTGCAATATTTATTTTCTGAAATAACTTTTAAAATGTTTTTAATTCACTTTTGAATAAAGACTTCTTTTTCCTGTCAGTGGGCTCAACATCTCTGTATCTGCCTTCTTCATTTCTTCCCCCACCAAGCATGTGATCTTCCTTCACTCCTCTCTTTATCACCCCAGACTCTCTGGGGCACGGTGGAGATGGAGGGAGAGTGTCCTTTTCTCTTTCACCCACTTTTCCCCTCTGCACCCCCTGCCTCCAAGAGCTGGAGCCCTGGGAATCATGAACGGCAGCTGAAGGTCAGCACTTGACCTTTTCTTGCGCTCAAGTTTCCCCATCTGCTTTCTCAACACCTTGAACCTTACTGAAGCTGTGTGGAAATTCTGAGTACTATCCAAAAAAAAAAAAAAATCAGCCTGCTCCCATTCTCCGCCTTCACCAAGACTTTGTGCCCTGATCTCACTGACCTTGGGATGACAGATTGTCCTGTTTAGAGAAGAAAACAATCCTTACTAAACGAAGGGTAGGATTCTGACAAACCAGCTCAGAGTTCCATGTCATCTAGTTTGGATAACATCAAATCCAGTGATTCAGGAAAACCCTCCAGAACCTCCCCACATTTGCCCACATCCTGTGTCACATCAAAAGCCAGTTATGTCAGAAGGGTCCCTATAAAAAAGCTGCACACACGCAGAATGGACATTAGAGGCTTCCCTTTAGACTCATTAACCCTCCTAACAACTATGGGAAAGATTCAACTTCAGAGATTTCCTCCCTCCTGCTGACCTTGAAGATCCGCATTGTCCCTGTGTATCTCAGTTTCCCCAATTGTTACAGAGGAAAAATCCTAAAGCCACTCTTCCTTGGGAAACCCTGACTGACAAATGCTATCAGGGTATTGTTTCTCTTATTTAGCCATTGAAAGTTGAAGGGTATGGCCTTGGGCTGCTCTCTGAGATGCCTGGGAAGAGAGGCTCTGGTTGCCCTGCAGAGAAGGCAGAGCCCTTTGAGAGGAGGCCAGGGCCTGAGGAAGGCTCCAAAGTCCCAAGCCTGTGTCCTTAAACATATGAAACGTGTCATCAGAGGTCTTGGTGGCCCCAAACAAGGCCCATGACAAGGAAAGCAAATGAGATTCTAGGGGAAAATACAACCAACAGCTTTGAGGAAAGAGTAAGGGATTGCAACAGAGTCTAGTGACAGGGCTTAAAAGGTAGACACTAGTGTTGATAACAGGTGGCTGGTTCAGGCCTTGTATCTAGTTTGAACTGGTAAAGGAAACCCCACTGTGGTGTCCACAGTAGCTATTAGGAGAAAGGAGAATCTTGTAGGCAATGCAATGGAAGTTCAGGGAGCAAGTGTTGTAATAATGAGATGAGCCAGTCAATGGTGTGCCTCCCCAAAGGGCCGTGTTAACAGCGATAGAGCTAGTGCTATAAGGCTGAAAGAATTGAAAAGCTGACAGGAAGAGAGGGCAATTACTCCTACTTCCTTCCAGTTCTCTCAATTCATCCCATGGGTGAGGTAGGCACCTCACCTCACTACCTCAGTACTCTTTGTACAACCAGTTAACTGCCAGTTACCTCGGTGTAAAGACTCCCTCAAGTACAGTGTACAGAGTTGGAAAGAGATTCCAACTCCCTTGCTCCCACAGGGAGGAGCCGAGTCCAGCACACACCAGCCCCGTGCAGCGAGAGCTCAGGCAACTTGTCGACATCACCCAGCTGGAAGTGAGAACTTGAATCCAGACCCTGACTAGAGTTGGGCTCCTCAATAAAACTCTTGATATTCCCATGGGAACAGCAAGACCCTCTTGAGCCCAGGGTCCTAGATGGCTGTTATTTGTGATACTATCCCAAGAGGTGACTTTCCCCAGAACATATTTGGGTAAGTTCTACCAAAACTCCATAGACATCCTTTCCCTCCAGTTACTTCACACTGGATTCCAAGTGCCAAAACAGTGAAAATTCTGACTAAAACTTTTTTTCAGATCCCACCTGCTAGTCCACTTGTCCAATTTGACGCGTGACTGCAATCTGGGTCAGACGTGGGGCAGAAGGAGAGGAAAGA